AAGGGGGGTTCTCTCAGTGCAAAGGGTAAAATGAGAGGATGTAAGTGAAAACAATGCCTTTTTGCACTAGAAAAAACATTAGACTGAGTCCTAAAGAAAAATCAGGATGAATTGTCACAGGCTGAGAGGTCCGGTTCAATCATGTTGCATGCCAGAGTAACGTTTTTGTAACTTTTTTCTTCCTTTTAGGTGCACATAATGCTCTCATCATTGGTAAGTTTTATGAAGGGTTTGCTGAGGAATTTTGGCATCTTTAACAAGAAGTGCCTACCTATAATGAATGAAATGTAAAAAGAGAGATCAAGATATCTTGAGTTGTAAATTCAACTAGAAAGAAAATAATGATGAGTTTAGGCCAGGATATGGTGAAACTAGCATCGTCATATGCATACTGAGGAACCTTCATCAAAGGCTCTTTACTGTCTTTGAACCATTACAAATGAATAGTCATTCATCAGTGTCAAAAAATCTTTATTTGAATGTGGTAGGAGAATGTAACTTCTTCTTTGGGTTATAACCTGGAGTATGCTTCCAAATGGTGATCACGCCCATTCGCACAAATAGCCACAGACCAGTCTTTCTGAGCCCAAATCTGTGATCTGCCTATATCAGAAGAATAGTTTTGTAATAGAGTTTGCTTCCTCTGTGGCACAGTATTCTTACATCCCTTTTTACACACATGGACACTGAGATACAGAGGTTTACGTAACTTGCCCAAGACCACAGAATGGGGTAGCCTGGGTTTAACCAGGCAATCTACCTATCTGTGGAGACTGTGCACTTCAACAATCAATAAATGGATAAAGGACCTCAATATATAATTCAACAAGAGAGAAAATTCCCGTATTGTCACAATGAAATGCCTGTGTGTTAAGTCTTAGGCAAGAGACATGGGCAGGGCCATGGAGAGCCGGTGGGCAGCTGCACCATATGGTTCTCACTTACTTGTGGAAAGGCTGATGTTGGACTAAAGGTTACAAAACAGCTCAGCTCACCCCTTAACTATAATACTTCTGTGTTTTATAGTTAAGGGGTGAGCATTAGAGTAAGACTAATGCTACAGAAACCCAGAGTAAAGCAGAATGTATAGTTACACCTTAAAAAAAAAAAGCATTGGCAATCTGTAGTGTAAATGGATACTAAGATAGCGTTTAAAACCTATGAGTTACAGTCTTCATGCATTTAATTACCTTGTTTTATTGCCTAGGCACTTTATCTGGTATAATCTTCCTTATTTTATTCACCATTTTCCTCTCTTGGATAATTCTAAAGTGCAGAAAAGGGTAAGTATCCACATATTATCCCAAGAAATGTAAACTGTACTTACCCCCTCTTGGAAGTCCAAAGAAAGTAAAAGTCAAACAAACCCGTTGCTACATAAACAGATGTGGTAATTCTTATAAAGAAGGCCCTTGACAAGCAGTCTAGACAAAGAGGTATTCACACTAAAGGAAATATGTAGGACACTAAGAACATTTTTTTTAAAAAAACAGCATTTTGGCCAGGTATGGTGACCCATGCCTCTAATTTCAGCAAGCACTATGGGAGGCCAAGGTGGGCAGATCACTTGTGGCCAGGAATTCAAGACCAGCCTGGGCAACATGGTAAAACCCCATCTCTACTAAACATACATAACATTACCAGGCAAGGTGGCACATGCCTGTAAACCCAGCTACTTGGGAGGCTGAAGCATGAGAATTGCTTGAACCCAGGACACAGAGGCTGCAGTGAGTGGAGATTGCCCTGTTGCGCCAAGAGTGAGACTCTATTTCAAAACACAAACATACACACACACACACACACACACACACGGCATGTTAAGAAGAAATTGAGTTTTACAGAAAGAGAAAGTAGGCAGAAGGAGTTTTTAAAAAGGTGTTCATGAGGCCGTTGATATCCTAGTTTTGCTAAGACATTGCAGACACTGACCTCTAAGCCCAGATCTTATCATAGCACTAGAAGTCAGATTGGGTCTCTTATGGCACACAGATCATATGGCATACATAGGCTGACAGTGGGGAAGAACTGAGACTTTTAATATTTTAACATATCAACAAATATTTTGTAAATACCATTAACATTTTCTTTTTTTGAGACAGAGTCTCACTCTGTCACTCAGGCTGGAGTGCAGTGGCACGATCTAGGCTCACAGTAACCTCCACCTCTGTATTCAAGCAATTCTCATATGTCAGGCTCCCAGGTAGCTGGGACTACAGGCATGTGCCACTATGCCTGTTTAATTTTTGTAGTTTTAGTAAAGACAGGGTTCTGCCACGTTGGCCAGCCTGGTCTCGAACTCCTGGTCTCAAGTGATTTGTCCGCCTTGGCCTCCCAAAGTGCTGGGATTACAGGCGTGGGCTATTGTATCAGGCCACCATTAACTTTTTAAACTTAAAAAAGAAAAAAAAAAAAAACTTCTAAAAATTAAGATCTGAATAAAGAAATGTCTTTATTGACAGGGAAGAATATACAGCTTTTGTACTGGTTGATTGAATTGTAATAACAATAATGAGGCCAGAATCAATACTAGCAATGTTATAAGGTTGATGAGCAAACTCTAAATCCATAAAAAACTGAATTTGTAACTTTTAAGTGAACAGTTTTCTATAGCAAATAATCTAAACAAGTGCAGTTTCCTACAACAAGCTTTACAGAAATTGAAGTTTTCATATTTCACAGAGATGCCAATACACTTTCTAAAAAGTACTTTGTCCTAGTAGATCTTGCTGTAAACAACCTAGTCAATTTCATGGGAAATACTGAATTAGTCAAGATTTAAATTTAAATCATTATCCTTCCTAACTAATGTTCTTTATATTTTATGGCTTGACATATAAATATTCTTTGCTCTTTTTCTTTAGGAAAACAAAAGGTAGGTAGCTGGTCACTTTACCTTAACAATGTTCTGTGTCAATACATTTTTCCTCTTAAAGTTTCTTATTAAGTACTACTATAATCGAGAGTTAATTTTTAAAAAATTATTAAGTCTGATTTAAAGAAGTCGGGGCTCTAATTTTCAGTATCTATACCAGTCTCTAATTAAAACCACATAGGGAAAATGATTATTTCATCCTTTTGAAAATATTCAAGATACTTGAATGTCCATGGCACAACCATTCTCTCTCTGACAAGGGGTACCAGGGATATGGCAGAAAGAAAGATCATGATCCTCATTAGACTTAAAGGTCAGGGAGGTAAACCTCCCAAACATCTATGTAACCCACATTAAAACCTATTATATATGTGTAATCCAGGGAAAATTTTAAACATTTCCTAAACTTTCATTTTTGGCCTGTTTCAGTTCTTGGGATTGTAACTATCTGACAGCTTCTTCCTGCCTGTT